CACACACACACACACACACACACACACACACACACACACACACACACTGTATCCCCACAGCTTCCTCCATGATACATCTCTCTGCTCTCAAAATGGTGTCACATTATGTGCTGGACTTCCCTCTGCTCGTAATGTCCTTGTCTCTGGTCCGTGTGTCTGGGCCCATACAGTTGCAGAGGGACAGGGCAGGGTTGCATCTTTAACAATGTGACCTCATGCTCTTTGCCATGTCTTTAAAAAAATCTCACATTAGCAAGTGTTTGACGAAAACAGGTGGAGCAGGCATCCTAACCTTGTCGTTAATTGTAATTTAACTTAACAATTAAAATCACATTGCCATGATATTACACCACTTAATGTCAAGGTCTGGACCAATTAGATTACATACATGCATCTACTGTATGTTAAATGGGATTTTAACTTGAGTATTGTTGCTATTCTCTCATCATAAAGTCTGTTGCAATGTATGATACACACAATGGCCGCCATTTATCAAATTATTCATGATCACATGATGGCAGCTATATTAAATCATTGATAAACTAAATCACCCCATTCCACCTGATGTGGCTCGTCTGCTTCACTGCAAAGGTGTGGCTGCTTCTTTTGTGTCCGCGATAATGAAAGTGTCCCCCGATTACACCAGAGAGCAGGGAATGTTCCCTCGGATAATTAGAAACATAGGGGGAAATTGTGTATCATTTCATTACCAGGAGGAAAAATGGGGGCCATCCATCATCATCCTTTCATTCATTAATTAACCATAAAAAAATAATGTAATATCTCCAGCAAATGCTCATGAAAACCATTAAGCTGATAGATATCCAAGGGAAAATGTCACTCCTCCAGCTCGCCCGGGAAAGTTCTGCCACTACAGAATGGCCGACTCATTCGATAATCCTAAACACCCTTCACCCTGCCACCCCCTCTATTCTACCACCCACATGCTGCTTTGATTTGAAAAGGCCATCATTTTTACAAAAACTATCCCATTATGTATGAATGTGTTCTGCAGTATTACTGAATTGCCAGTGTTCTCAGAAAAGGAGAACATTTTATTAATTTAAGTATAGTAGGCCATCTGTGAGCTCCTATTGATGCTGCCCCTGTCTTTGTGGATCACAAATAGAGATGGACACAGATTTTTCTCTCACACTGGGTTTGGTGTTCTCACTCATCTATACAGTTGAAAAGCTGGTTCCACATGTTGGTTTTTTTCACTGATGTAAATAATACATATTTCTTAACTGACTCAACCTCTTCAAAGCCATCAGAGCTTTGGGTGTACTCTTATGGGAGTCATCTCTTATTCTCTGTGAAGACAATGGATGGCACTTTCACCTCGAGAACCCCTGGTGTAGTGTAGCTTTGGTGGTATTTGGTGGTATTCTAGCTAGTCTAGCTGTGAAAAAGTCAAGATCTGACAACCATAGGAAGATATCATAGTTGAGACGTCTTACCCCCGACACAAATGCCACTTTGAAAACATGATTAACGTTTCTAAAACTTTTGGACCTCACAGAGTCTTACAGTTAGCTGTCCCCACGTTATACGCTGCAGAATGAGGAGGAGATCTGGGAGAGTTGATACCATTATAAGGAGCCAAGTGACCTCTGCACTGCAGGGCAAAATCTCAGGTGATGCCTCAGCGAAAATATCAGTTGGATCAAGGGAACTGAAAATCTGATGTGTGCCCTTATTCTTCGCCCCTCTTGAGATTACAAGTTATGATGGGTAATGCAGTAACGCTGCATATAAACTGAAATGGAAATATTTGAAGGTTCATGAGTGTTCGTATAATTAACTACTTGAATTATTTCTTTGTAAAATGCTGCGATTTGGATGACACAACATTCTTACATTGCTTCTATAATGAGAGGGACTCTAAAATTATAACTGGTAATGAAATAGGTCATAAGCATGCAGAGGAATCATAAAAAAGGACATTATCAAATGTTAGTAAATAATACCAGATGAGTCAGAGTAGTGATGAAGAGACCCCTACAGAGGTTTATTCAGTGATGATAAGGCACTGGGACTGTATTTGTTGTATATGTCCCCAATACAAAAAATATAGAAAACCTATATTGTCGGTAGATTCCGGTCTGTGATTGTAGATTTTGACATGATTTCCGGGTCAATGCTTCAGAAGTTGTTCTGGTGCAGGTGGTCTAAGGTCTTTGTCTCCGTGCTGAGCCACTCAGTAGGATTAGGTTTCAGTCAGACAGTGGCCCTGAAACCTAAATCCAGATTAGCAGCCCATCACCATGACGGTGGAAGCAACAGAATTACATTAGCGCACCTATCAGTCACACACACTCTACATGGGCTTACAAGCCGCCTGCCTGCTGAATCATTGTTCTGATGGTCTGTGGAGGGATGTTTTTTTCATTAAATGATGCTAAAGGTGACATGTTTAAGAAAATGTTTTAGCTGTGTTTCAGGATCCTTCAAGGCTGCCTGAGATGAAAATTCCTGACATATACTTTATATTAACAACACAATCACACACAATCAAGTAGCGCTTACTGCTGCTTTTTGTTTAGTATAGGGAACTATTTATTTTCTCAGTATTTATGGCATATTATGCATGCACTTTAACCAAACTTCACTCTGAATTACTTGTGGCAAAATGCTTGTAAAAATGTATCAGGTGAAGCATAAACTATTATACAGACTGCCATACTCATTTGCTAAAGTTTTGCTGTACATAAATACATGTTTTGTCGACTTTATGGGCATAAATGTGTTCTCTGCTTCAGCCAAAACTCTTTATGAGGATATTATTCTTCATGATCAGTACATAGCTAAAAATCTGCTGAAAGCCAGGATGATTTGGGGCTGATGTCAGCAAAATGCCCTGATCCAATGGAAGCATCTGGGATAAAAAATGTTTGGTACAGCACTTTGTGTATCTTAATATACCTTGTGAGTCCCTTGTATCCATTAACAAACTACCGATACCAGAAGTCAGTCCCGGACCTTTCCATCCAATCACCTCAGCACAAGATGACTGGAAGGAAGAATACAAGCAACATTTGGATGGGTTTCAATGTTTAGTCGAAACAGCCATGAACTCCCAATCTTTACAACTGGAACAAAAACAAACAGATGTTGTGAAACCTGATGGGGGCAATTTTTTTAATTGTTGTACCCAACTACAGAATTTCCACAGCAAAATCATAGATACAAATTATTACAACTGAAGTTAATATTGAACTTATCATGGGATATGTGGCTTGAAAGCTTACCTGTTTATTCTTAGTTTTGATTTTTCAGTTCATCAATAAAGAAAATACTCCCAAATAACCCCAAACATCCCTTTGGCTTTCATCACCGCTGGCCAACACTGAGGGCATCAGTGTACATGATTGCACTAATCATGTCATAAGGGAGAGCTTTTAGGTTTTTAAACAAGATAGTAGAGTCCATGTTCTTTGCACTTGGATTAGTTCTCTGTGAGCTGCTTAACCAGTTCCCAATGGGGTTTCTGTATGTGTGTGTGACAGGGAATGTACCCATGCACATGCTAACACACATGTACACACTGATGTGTCCACAGCAATAGATGTCTATATGTACATGACCCAGCTGTGACCTCTTGTGTGATTAAGACCTGAAATCAGCCCCATCCGTCAAGTCTGATTGCTTCTTTAGAGCTGAAAGAGCTTTTTAGGACAAAATTAGAGCTGTAGGGGGAAGCAACGTGTGAAAGAAATGGTGGCTGGAATATGACACATTTCAAATGTGGCACATGATATACTTAGTGTGAATATTGTGTTGTGCTCTGTAAAACTGTGAGATATTTTCTGAAGATAGAACTGGGATTGTATCTCTGTAGAGTGGCAGGTAGGGAGGTGTCACTGAACCTGAGTAAAGTCTATAAATCCATGATTATACACACAGGGGTCCCTGCTGAGCCCTGAGGTAAACTCTTTGTCATATCTCACAGGTGCTTTATTCTGTCATTTGTTACACATTGACTTCATATTATTGTTTTCTGTTTCAGTTCGAATTAGAGCTTTTTAAATAACGATTTTGAATACTGATGTATTGGGGTTCTGGGTGACCCCGG